ACAATTCCTTTTTAGAGCACCATGATTGGAAGCTTCTCCACGTGGCCTCGTAAATACGGTTCGTGGATGGGCGCCTTGACGCCTGAATGACCCTAATTACACCCTGTGAGCAAGACCCCCTGGCTAAAATTGACCGCTCAAGTGCCAGACGGCTAGTTGTAGCCATTGTGGCTCTGGGTGGGAGATCTCCCCCTGCTTGAGGGAGATCCTCTCCGGAGGAATCCGCCATGGATTCGTGCGAGAGAGACTCCTCAGGTCTCCTTGGCCAATAAGGGGCCACAAGGATTACCTCGGCTCTTTCCCGCAGAATCTTGCGTACTACTGCCGGAAGGAGAGGTAAGGGTGGGAATGCGTACAGGAGTTCCCTTGGCCATGGGCTCCGTAATTCATCCAACTGCTCTGCTCCCCTGGATGGGAATCGGGAGAAGAAGCGAGTCAGGTGGGCATTGGAAGGAGAGGCAAATAGGTCCACTTGGGGAAGCCCAAAGCGGTGACAGATCTCCCTGAAGATCCTCGGGTGTAGTTGCCACTCCGAGTGATCTATTGTTGATCTGCTCAACAGATCTGCCTGAATGTTTGCCTCGCCCGATATGTGGTCGGCCTTTATGGAGGCCAGATTTTGTTCCGCCCAAGCCCCCAGTAGGAGGGCCTCGGCCGAGAGCGAGCGAGAGTGTGTGCCCCCCTGACGGTTTATGTGGGCCTTGGCTGTCACGTTGTCCATCAGGACTAGTACGTGCTTGCTTTTTATGCTGCTCCGGAAATGTCTTAACGCTAGGTGAATAGCTCATAGCTCGAGCTAGTTTATGTTATGTCGGAGGTCCACCGCTGATCAGCGGCCCTGTGTCCACTTGGTCCCCAAGTGGGCTCCCCAGCCGAATAGGCTTGCATCTGTCGTGACTATTATTCTGTCTGGTTCCCTGAAGGGGGACCCTCTGAGGAGGGCCGGAGATAGCCACCATCTGAGGGAGTGTCGTACTCCCAGAGGTATGCCTACCCTTCTCCGGGATGCACTGAGTTGCTGTCTCTGAAATGGGAGCATGAACCACTGCAGTTCTCTTGAGTGCAGCCTTGCCCAAGGAACTATTGCTATGGTCGATATCATCTTCCCTAGCAGCTGGGAGAGGCCGACCAGCGTCACTGACTGACCGCGGCTTACCTGTTTTACAGTTTTCCTTATGCTGCTGAGGCGTTCCTGTGATAGGTACACCTTGCACTCCTTTGTGTCTATGACAGCTCCCAGATGGAGTATTCTCGTAGTTGGGGTTAGGTGGCTCTTTGGAAAGTTCACCGAGAAGCCGTGGTTCTGTAGCAGCTTTATCACCAACCTGAGGTCCGCCTGAGATTGTTGGGCGGACGATGATTGGATTAGAATATCGTCCAGATAACACTGGACTCTGACCAGAATGTTCCTTAGGTGTGCTGCCAGAACCGCCAGAATCTTGGTGAACACCCTGGGTGCTGATGACCTGTTTAATTCCAACTAGCTTAAGCTAAAAATCCTAGCTACAGTAGAAATAATCCCCCAATGGGAGAGACTATACCTGCCTAGGAGCCAAAGTTGAGACGTCTATCTTCTGGGCCAGATCAGTCAAGACTGGGAAGTCGTGGTCCAGGACGGGTGTGGCAACTTTGGCTGACTGATCTGATTGGGCAGGAAATACAGTTTCAACCCACTGAGTGGATTATCTATCTCCAGTGCTGGAAAATAAAGGCATAAGTGTAAGAGCTAGTTTGGTCTAGTGGCAAAGGCCTCAGGCTAGAAACCAGAAAACTCTGAGTTCTAGTCCTGCTCTCTCAGCCCAACTCATCTCACAGAATACTTGTGGAGAAAATAGGAGAAGGAATTAGCACTGAATATGTTCACCACCTTGAGTTAGTTATAAAAATAATAAAGGTAATATAAAAAAACTTTTAAAAAAATTATAAACTGAACATAAGCCAATCAAGTTATGCAATTGCCCCCCCCCCCAAAAAAAGCAAATGCAATCCTAGGCTGCATCAACTGAAGTAAAATCTCAAGTTCAAAAGAAGTAATTTCTCCTCTCTATTCTGCATTGGTCAAACCACATGTATAACATTGCATACAGTTCTGGGGACTGTATTTTAGGAAATAGATTTGCAAATTAGAGTATGTCCAGAAAAGGAAGTTCAGGTGGTAAGGCACCTTGATGGGGATACTTATGAGGAGGCATTGGGTATGTTCAGCTTGGAGGGCGGAAGACTTCAGGGAGACATCATGGCTGAGTATCGGAAGGGCTATCATGTAGAAGAGGGGCAGATTTTTTCAGAGTTATTCCAGGAGAAGAAAGCGGTTTTAATTATATAAAAGTAATTTTGGTAAGATATCAGGAGTAAGTTTTTAATTGTAAAAGCTGTTCAACAATGTTAAAGATCACCCCAGGCAATGGTGGATTCTCACTAGATAACTTTCACTGATAGTCATCTCTGGGATCCTGTATGATGGAAAGCTGCACTGTCCAGAAACTGGACTAGATAATCTTTCTAATCCTTCCAATGTATGTGTTCTGTTTCAGAAGAAGAGGCATCGAGACAAAGCAACATGTTCCAACAATTTTCCTTTATTGCAAACACCAACAGAACTGATTTTAAAATGGTGCGGCCCCTTTTTATAGCCCCCCTGCACAATACCTTGCTGGCCAATCATTTCAAAGGATCTTTTCCCGCCGTGCGCGTGCGTGCAAGGCTGGGAGCAGCCTTTCTTCTCCCGGGCATCCATATGGTCTGCCCGGGCCAATCTCTGCAGCCTGCACCTGCCAGCCCAGGACATAACAGTATGATTTTACGGTTTCTCATAACATACCCTGGTATAACTAGTTGTTTTGGGAAAAATACTCTTATGTTTCTCTTCAGTAGTTATAAGTCAATTTCACCAAGCCAGTAGTATTCCATTAGGTCAACTTTTAAAAAGAAAGACAATGACTTACAGAAAATAAATATTTTTTTTGAAGGAACATGATTGTAAACAGAAACTTAACTGCAGAGTTATATTTAAAGTTCTTAAGCAAAAAAAAAAGATTTTTTACTAGTTCAAAACTGTTGCTACTGTAAATAAATATGAAAAAGATGGAATGCCCATACATATCATATTTATTTGTTTATTTAATTCAGTTGAGGTACCACTTGACTCCAGCTGATTCTGGGCAGCTCACAATGTTTTATCATAAAAATCTGATACATACCAAAACAAGATGGGATGGAGATATACAATACACATACATACTAAGGGGCAGATTGTAGACCATATGATCTATAATCAATAATTAAGATTAAGGACGAAACTGCATCATTTGTTTCTCTTAGCACTCTTTCCAAGTGGCTTTTTAAAACAATATAAGAGATAAATTTATGCAGGTAATGTATTCTGCCTGTATTGCTTCAGCAAACGGACATACAAAATTATGTTCAAACTTGTTATATTTCTCTGACTGTTTTGGAAATGGTCTTTTAGATAGCAATACATTTGCATGTTGCAGAGTATAATGCTGATAAAAAAAGGTGCATACTATTTAAATAAGGTAGAAATCAAATTGGAAAGTTTTCTAACTGAACTGTAGAACTGATTACACAAGTATGAATTTAATCTAGATCAGATCCTTTGATATTATCAGTGAATTATGTAATTGATAATACAATGGACAAAACATGACAGGAATAATAGGAGTAAAAGAATGCTTTTAAAATGATCTGCTTTTCTTAAAGGGTTAGGAAAAGATTAATTTTTATTTTTAAACTACATCAAGAGTATAAAATATGCAGCTTTTAGAACATGTGTGGCCAATGGGAGATTGAATATAACTCCAACTATCACATTAGAATAGATGGGGCCAACAATTTGGATTTTTTGTTTGGCAAGGCTTAATCTATCTATTTCATCTCCTAATCATCCACCCCAAAGAGACAAAAATAGCTTGAGTGCCATTTATTTTGTCAGCTTTTCCCTTCCACTTGTTTTTCTGTTAAAAAAGGAAAATCTGCAGTTTTCTCTTCAGGAGAATTTCAGTATTCTTGCATCCTCTATTGATTAAAAAAAACACACAACAGGAGGGAGAGAAGAGTACTCAATATTGCTATTACAAAAATTTCTCTTGAGGCAAATGAGCGGTTCAGAAATGTGAAAAATTAATAAATAAAACAAAATGCCAACATAAAAAACCCACATAAAATAAAGTTAAGAAAAAAAATAGGAAGGTGTTTTCTCTCTTCAGGGTTAAAAAAAAAAGAGATTGAATTTATATAGAGGATTCTCTTAATATGAACTAGGATAAAGGTTAATGAGTCAACAGAAGTACATATTATTCCCCACAGCAATGAGAAGCAGAGATGGTTAAACTGATTCTTTTATCCAAAGATGAGAATATATTTAATCTTGCTTCTATTTTGAAATTGCTCTCAGATATTGTGCTTGCAATGAAAAAGAAAATGAAATTTTGATTTTGTTTCTGTTGATTAGATAGGTTTATTGTTATAGAAATGGTTTTTACATACTGTTGTGTAAAAGCAAAAAGTTGTGATTGTAATGCTGTTATCTTCTGTGCTAAAGAGAGTCAGAAGTTTGTGCCATTTTTTCTCTTGTTGGCTCATACTATCTTTTTTCTTTTCCCTTCCTTCCCCCTTTTCTAGTTTTCTAATATTTTAATTTTTTTGTATTTTATATTTTGACAAATCAATAAAAAATTATTAAGAAAAAAAAAACTTGGAATGTACACACTTAGTTAATTTTCCCTTTGTCATGAATCTATCTCGATCTAGATCCTATCCAGATCTCAAACTTGTCTGAGAAAAAAGATGAAAGACAGCTTAGAAAAATGTAAAAAATATTATCATCCTCTCTTTCTCTGCTGGAAATGATGTCTTTACAAAAAATTTCTTGCCCCAACATAGGAACATGGCAAGAGTCAGCTTTAATAATGTAGAAAGTAATCAGTGCAGAGTTCTGATCATAGCTTCAGGAACTGAAAAGATAAACAAACCAGGCTTACCTCAGCTTTGTTCTGCTTCTCTTCATACTCGCTTTGTTCCTTCTCCATTCCAACCAGTTTGATTTTCAGATCTGAAACTTCTGCCATTAAATCCAATTTCTGAGTTTCTAGCAACGTCCGACTTAACAGTTCCTGAAAAAAGAGAACATGATTTTTCCAGTTATTCAATTCTAGAATTACAGAAATGGTCTTTTACCCATCTGTTTCTGATTTTAACAATGAATATGCAACATCTACTTCATTATTATTATTATTGTTGTTGTTGTTGTTGTTGTTGTTATGGATCATCGCACAGTCAGCCAGATGTTCAAACTGGATTTGGCATTTTGTCTACCTATCGAGTCCTTACCCAGGACCTGGGATAGGCAGATGTGGATGTTTGATGGTATTACATATTATTACTATTACTATTACTATTATTATTATTATTATTATTATTATTATTATTATTATTATTATTATTTGTCCTACAGTCAGATGTTTAGACTGGATTTGGCATTTTTGTCTACCCACCCATTTTTGTCCTTCCCAAGGACCTGGGATAGGCATGTTTGATGGTGTTAAATCTACCGTTGCAGAATATAAGCTGTTCTAAGTAAAACTGTGTTTTGCAATTGACTGATGGTGATTTTGTCAGTGCCAATGGTGATCAAGTGGTGCTCCAGATGTTTTAGAGTTGTACTCAAGATGCCAATTATTATTGGTACCCGTTTTGCTTTCTTTTGCCACAATCATTCTGACTCCTATTTACAACTCCTTGTATATTTTATGATTTATTATTATTACTATTACTATGTACTACAGTAATTACTTTATTATCCAAGAAATTTAGCATTTTGTATATGGTTTTGTTAAGCATGTTTTGAATTATGGAAGCAGTCAAGTAAACATGTAGTACCAGTAAATAAAATAAGCCATAACTGTTAGAACGGAGTAAAAATACCAAAAATAAAGATTTTTTTTCCCCCAGAGGTTCATCCAGAATAAAGAACAAAATTGTTTTACTATTTTAGGTTTAGAAAATTATATATGACAGATTGGATTTTTAAGGAGGAAATAGCAGCTGGGGAAAATGTTTGCCCTTTCCCCTTCTTTCTTCTCCGCAAAGATGACTAAATAGGGCATATTTCACAAATACAAATGAATTCTGTATATTAGAAACTGCAACAAATGTACCTGTGGCCAAGAGAGGGAGGGCATCCATTCTAATTCAGATGGCTTGTAGTGACAGTTAAAGTAAAAATTCCCCAGAAAGATCCACTGAAATCTTTAAACAATGCCCACTCTACAAATTAATCCTGGGTTTTTTTTGTGAGTGGGATTGTTCTAGTCTAAAATTCCCACAAATTGCTGGGTAGAACAATCTTAAAAAGAACCAGAAGATAAATGAGCATTAAGGATTCCAGAAAGTCACATGACAATATATGGAGATACTATTTCTAACAGTGTCATGTCTCATTTTTCTCACAGCTAGCTCTCTAGCCCCATCTTTTCTGGAAGCTGGAAAAATGAACATTAATATCGGCAAGGGAGCACTAAATAAACATTAAAAAACCCTTTACAAATGGCATCAAAATTAAATCAGTTGAGTAATTTTATCCACAGATGCTGTAGAAGACACGACAAGAAACAATGGGTTAAATTATAAGGAAATAATATTTTTTCAGTTGGAAGTCAGAGAAAATGTCCTAATTTCCCCAGTTGTTCAAAAATAAAATGGTGGTAGACTCTTCTTCACTGAAAGTGCTTAAATAGAAATGGTCACATGCCAGTAATGCTACAGTGGTAGGTTTCTGCCTTGGGCAGAGGTTTGGACCACATGATTGCCAAGGTCCTCTTCAATCTTTACATTCCATGAGTAAATGATTACTAGCATTGGAATTAGAAATTTGTCCTAAAATGAAAAGAGGCCTAATAGTGAACACTTCAAATAGATGCAGCACAAGTAATTTCTGTCTCATGTTACAGTCAATAAATAACCTTTTTGCATGAAGGCAACACCTATTAAAAAAGAAGGAAATAGCTGGAGTAATTGAAGACACAGAGAGTACTAAAGATAGCAGCGATAGACAAAGTTGTTGATTCCACTCCTTCAAATGGTCTGGTAGTCTAAGGAAATATCAAATTTCTGGAATAGTTTTAATTGTCAAGAAAGAGATAATTATTGCAGGATTATTTTGGAGTCAATTGTAATTCAACAAAGGTTTCAAAAAATATGAGAACAACTATCCAAGAATTACAGGACATTTTCTTGCCTGGAAGAAGATGCTGTGACCAAAATACAATGTCAGTTGTTCATGAAATACATCAATATACAGACTTATTCTTGTGTTTACTGATTTTGCAGGAGCATTTGACAGTATCCATTGACAATGGTATAAATGGTGCTACTCCAGAAGGTGTTCCTGCTAAAACAATATGCCCTTTGCTCCACTTATACAATGTATGAAGGATGACAAAGTTCCTGTTAATGACAAAATGTCCAAAGGCTTCCCTGTATATATTGGTGAAAGGCAAGAAGGGATTGCTCTCTCTTGGGATTCAACACTATGATCAATGCAGTAAAGTGGAAGTCTACTTTTTAGGATGGTGTCATATTTGGACAAGATGTTCATCACAAATCAAATGTTATTTTGCAGATATATATGAAAGATATGCCTATGAAATCATGCTTGATATAAAAACTCCTGTTTATATCTAACCATCAATATTGACAAGACCAAGGTATTAACAGCCAATGATTCCTAGACAACTGTACCTTTTGATGAAGCTCACTTGAGCGATTTACATACAGTACATTGGCCAAATTATCGAAGAATATAAAATAGTTGCCACAGACAATATCAACAACCAAATTGACCAGGCTGCTTTAGCCTCCAGAAAGGTGTTTCTAGAGAAAAACCAGTATAAGAATTGCTGCCGAAATGTACTGTACAGTTATCAATAATCAATTATCAATGCATAACGTCTAGGACCTTACTTCAAAATGATTTGAAGAAGGTTGAAGTTTTCTAAAGGTTCTGCCTGAACCAAATAGTATAGATTTCAATCTATGTAAAAACATAAAGTGAAACAGTTAAAGAATGGCACTGCAACCAATTTATGCTAGTTGAGAAAATTCAGAAACATAACTACTGCATGACCCCTGCCAACTTTCTCATTGACATCTCAGGAAATCACACCAGGAAACTGGAAAATACAAAGATGAGCTCCAAAAAAACAAAAACAAAAAACCCTTAGCTGAAGCATATGGAAGAAATCCCAGGAAACAGGACCACAACAAAACCATAACAAAACAAAAACTGGAGGAATATGCTATGTGACATCAGCAAACCCATAATATCTACTAATTACTGTAGATCAGGGTGTCAAACTGACGGCTTGCGGGCTGGTTGCATCATGCTGAGGCCATGCCCACCCCAGCTCCAGCAATGCAAAAAAAGTCGTGATACGTCATGACATGTCACGTGATGCGGCAATTTTGACACCCGTGTTATACAGGTAGTCCTTGACTTGTGACCACAATTGAGCCCAAAATTTCTGTTGTTAAGTGAGACAATTGTTAAGTGAGTTTTGCCTCATTTTACAATCTTTCTTGCCACAGTTGTTAAGTGAATCACTGCAGTTGATAAGTTAGTAACCCAGTTGTTAAGTGAATCTGGATCTCCCATTGACTTTGCTTGTTAGAAGGTCACAAAAGGGAATCACATGACCTTGGGACACAGCAATGGTCATAAATATGAACTAGTTGCCAAACATCTGAATTTTGATCACATGATCATGGGGTTGCTACAAAGGTTGTAACTATGAAAAATAGCTGTCCAAAAATATTGTTCAATAAATAATATGGAGGCAGTTTTCCACTGTACTGTATTATACATAAATACGTCACATTTTAGCTGAACATATAAATGTGCATCATAATGTACACATCATAGCAAAACATCTATAGCAGTGGTGGTGAACCTATGGCATGCATGCCAGAGGCGGCACTCAGAGCTCTTTCTATGGGCACACATGCCGTTGCCCCAGCCTTGCCTCCTCCGTGACCCCCTCCTCACCAGAAGTCCCCCTGGAGGAGAGTCGGCCCCCAAGCATGGCCTACGTGGAGCAGTGCAGTCAAGGAGATGGCAGCTAGGCAGCGTAGACAAGACTCTGCCCTCACATCCCATCACGCACAGTTGATGCTGCGGGGTGCGGGAAGAGGGCATGGCCGCAATGGTGCCGCTGGGCTGCCTGGGCGATCTGCGGCAGGCCCTGGAGGCGGTGAGTGGCCCTGCGGGCAGGCGGGATGGGGTGGGGCAGGGGGTGGAGTGGGGGTGGGGCCAGTTTTTGGGCACTCGGTCTCTAAAAGGTTCACCATCACTGATCTATACTGTCCTAAACCTCTATGAACTACAATTATAACCTCTCAAAGTTTGTTTTATATTTTTATTTAATCCAGATTACATTTCAGTGAAGCCATCTTAAATGTTAACCAAATGACACTTGTGGCCCAGAAAATATATTGAACTGAAAATTATTTGAAGTGGAGCTTAAAGAAATCACCATGGTGCAGTTACTAACATGTGGAAGTAATTACTTCTATTTTCAAGCAGATGCTTACGTTGACCAATTTGCTAGTGGAATATGGCCCACTTTGCTATGTGGAAATTACAGAGTATTCCAGCGGTATGATGCAATTGGAAGGCAGCTTAAATAAACATGGAGTTGTAAGAAGTAAAAGTACAGTTCAGAGTTGTTAATTTTGAAGTGAAAATACAATATATGCCATCTGAAATCTATAGAAACTCCAATATGAATGGCAAAGAACTCAGAGTAGAGCCATAGAAAATGGAATATATATTATTTACAGCATTATGCTTCCACCTAATTATTGTTTTATTTATATTAATATATATGTATTTATTATCAATTAAAACAATTTCCAAGAAAATAATTGGTTTCATGAAAAACAATGTAGGTGGCATGATTGAAAAAGTTATGAATGATTCATACACATATCAATCACTCATATTTTTCAAATATAGTATTATAAATTAACACCGTATATTATTTTTAAGATTGATTTTTAAACTAAGGATCTTCCATGAGATTATTTGCATTTTATGATTTACAAGTGTAATTTTCAA